CTCTACTGCCAACAACTAGACCGCTTGAAGGCAGCATTCATCAAGAAGAGGCCATCTATGATCAACCGCGGCCGAATTGTGTTCCATCAGAACAATGCCAGGCCACACACGTCTTTGATAACGCGCCCGAAGCTCCGGGGGCTCGGATGGGAGGTCCTAAGGCATCCACCTTATAGTCCGGACCTGGCACCAAGTGACTACCATATTTTCCTGTCCATGGCAAACGCGCTTAATGGTGAGAAGTTGGAATCAAGAGAGTTTACGAACAAAACGGCGCATATTTGACTTAAATCGTACAAATGTACACAAAAATATCATCTTTTGAAAAATCAATAAAAAACCGAACGAACTTTTTACTTTACCTAATATTATATATTATATATTTTGTGCGGATAGTTCCGACAAACTAAAGTAGTTTAATTAATTACTCACTTGTTTCTTTTTGCATTTTATGCAAGTTTATTAAAATCAATATTTACTTGTCGACAAATATTCTTTCATTTTCGTATCATACTTTTAGAGCTTCGCAAACCAAATTGAAACTGTCGTCATTTAGTGCAACAGTTCGCATTTACTATTACTCCTCTTTGACCTTTAGTTTTGTATCGGAGGTGATACAATTTGCGCTAATTTGCGATAATTTAGGATTGTTGATGTAAACGGTCATAAAAAATGTTTCGGATTTTAATAGCTTTAGTTGATATCATACCTTTTGTATCTTCATACTGGTCTCAACAGTTTTAACCGAGGATTTAAAATTTTCTAGTAGATCTGTCGTGTCCAAACATTTTCGAAATTTTTCTGTTCAATTTCTTACCCCAATTCAGAGTTCAAAAGATACCTATTATTATCTATATAAAATAATATACATACATATATGCACATGCACCACAATACTATGCACACCTACACACACATTTAAGTAGATCATATATATCTTAAAAATACAAGGTACAATTCAAAAGTTCCAGACTTTTTAAACAACGCGGCTTCTAGTGGCGCCATCTGTCTGAAATTGTTATCCCTCAATTGTGTATTCTTCAGTGTTGTCGTATAAAATGTATATAAAAGCTGACTTGTATAACAGCTGAGATATCGCGCTACATGTGACATTACATTTGTAGTGTCGGTCGGAAAATGAGCATCGAACAAAGAGCCAACATTAAGTTTTGTTTTAAACTTGGTAAAACTTTTACCAAAACTCATCAAATGATGAAACAAGTTTATGGCGATGATTGTCTATCCCGTAGCCGTATTCACGAGTGGTTTAAACGTTTTCAAGAGGGACGGGAGGACTTGGAAGACGACGAACGTTCGGGCCGGCCAAAAGATGTTGTGAAAGAAAAAAACACGGAAATTGTGCGTGAATTCATTAAAAAAGAGCCGAAATCATCGCTTAAATATATGAAATCGGAATTATCAATATCCGCAGCGTCGATTTATCGTATTTTGACAGAAAATTTGGGCCTCAGAAAGGTTTGTGCTCGATTTGTCCCGCACACTTTGAAACAACACGAAAAATACCTCAGAATCAGACAGATTTTTTGACCAAAAATCGCATTCATATCATCAACCATTCACCCTATTCGCCTGATATGGCCCCCTGAGATTTTTATTTGTTCAGAAAACTACATTTGGCCATGAAAGGAAACCGCTATGCTGACGTTGATGCCATCCAAAAGGCGACGACCGCCATCCTCAACGCTATACCGACAAATGACCTAAAAAAGTCATTCGATAACCTTCTTGAACGTGCAAAACGTTGTATTCAGGCGGAAGGAGACTATTTTGAAGGCGACCAATAAATTTTTCAAAAAAAACAAATAATATTCGTTTTTTAATAAAAGTCCTGAAACTTTTGAATTGCACCTTGTAGTATATAAGCGATGAAAATTGTAAAATTAAATAAGAATGAAATAGATTTCACTAGATGACGGTGTCTGTCAATTTTAGTCCCCCACCACAGGTAAGATAATATTCATCAGCTCGTTCATTCATTTTAAACTTATTTAAATGAAACGTTAATGTATAATTTTAAACCGAATTCTCTTTTAGTTATTTAGTATTTTGTTTTATTAATTCGGTTTTGTATTTACTTGCAATTAAAATATTTTATTTAAATTTTTTCTTGAAAATATGTTTTGATTTTTTTATTTAAGACGCACTTTTAATTTATTAATATATTTTATGCCCTTATTAAGCGTTATATAGGTGCACCCTAATATTATATAATAACCCAACGATTACCCTCCTCCCGCCCAACCGAGGCGAGGGGCGCAATCCGCATACGTGCGGAATTAGCCGAGTCAGAAAAGGCAAGAGAGTTTTTTAAGTGTTGAGATCTAAAACTGCTCAGCTACAGAAACAAAAATTTCAACAGCTAAGATCTAAAGTTACAATATAATAAATTGTTACATTTTCATTTATTAAGAGAAAACAATAAAGTCTTTTTAATTTTGAAAAGTGAGTCAGATAAGTCAAATGTGCTGGAATGAGAATTAAAATCATGACATCTACGGCGGAATGGCTCGTTTAGTTCAAAATTTGATCTACAGGATTTTAGCAGTAAAGGTCTAAACTGCCTCGAAAGGCGAACCGGGATATTAAATTTAATTTCAGACAGGAGAAAAGATCTGCAAACAGTTCCATTCAAAAGTTTCACTAAGAATGTTATGTCAAGCATTTCCCTACGACTAGAAAGTGTAGGTAGATTAATAAGTTTTAAACGACTAGTGTATGGAGGTAGACTAACCCTAGCATCCCAGCGGAAATGCGCTAAGGCGAAAAGTAAAAATTGTTTTTGAACCGACTCTAACTTGTCAGAATGGATTTGGTAGCTAGGATTCCATACCACAGAGCCATATTCCAATATAGGTCGAACCAAAGTTGTATAAAGTGTTTTAGTAATATACGGATCTCTAAATTCTTTAGACCAACGTTTAACAAAACTGAGGACAGCTTTTGCTTTCAAGACCATGGTATCAATATGAAGACTGAAATTAAGCTTAGGGTCCATATTCACTCCCAAATCAACATAGTTTAAAACTTGCTCTAGAATATGGTGTTTTATTACATAAGAAGAGGGGTGCACAGATCTACGGGAAAAGCACATCGTCTTACATTTATTGAGATTCAATGGCAAATCATTTCTATCACACCATGCAACCAAATTGTTTAAGTCTGTTTGCAACAGACACCTTTCCTCAGTTGAAGTGTATGATTTAAAAAGCTTTACATCGTCAGCGTATAATAAAATTTTTGAGAATTCTATTACTGAAGAGATATCGTTAATAAACAACAAGAACAGAATCGGGCCAAGATGACTACCTTGCGGAACACCAGAAGAAACATTAATTGTATCTGAAGGTGTATCCTCAAATATCACTTGTTGTGTTCTATTATAAAGACAGGAAGATACCCATTGAAGGAATCTTGGCTGAAAGCCCAGCAGATCAAGTTTATGTATGAGAATCGAGATATTTACTTTATCGAAAGCTTTGCTGAAGTCTGTGTATATAACATTCGTATGCTTATGTTCCCTAAAACCCAATGATACATGGTTTACAAATTCAAGTAAGTTTGTTATAGTCGAGTTCCCTTTACGAAATCCATGCTGAGATGAGGAAATTAACGGAGAAATCGAAAATGTTATATGGTCAGTGATGATAGTTTCAAAAAGTTTAGGTATAACTGATAGTTTTGCGATACCTCTATAGTTTTCAATGTTGGATCTAAATCCACTTTTATGCAAAGGGATTATAAATGACTGTTTCCATATTGAAGGAAATATACCGTGTTTAAGAGAGGAATTAAATATCCTTGTCAAAGGCAAGTAAATATATTTGGCACTATTTTTTACGAAGCATGAGGGTATCATGTCTGGGCCCTAACTAAAAGATGGTTTTAACTTATTTAAATTAAAAAGGACGTCTTCTTCAGAAATAACTGGAGCGTTAATTAAAGTATTCGAACACAGCACTTGCTGATAAGAAAAAGTTTTGGAAGAATTATTACAGTAGTTGGACTTGAAAAATTCTGCAAACATATTCGATATAATATCATTGTCACTTGAAATGATAGATTTGTATTTCATTGCGGACGGAAATTTGGAAATCCTGCGTTTGGAGTTGACGAAATCATAAAACGATTTTGGATTATTTACAATATTTTTTTTTACTTTATTTAAGTAATTATTATAACATTTTTTGTTTAGGTCAAAATATTGTCGACGCAATAGAGAATATTTAGAATAGTCGACAAGTGAACCGGTTTTTTTAAAATGTTTAAAGGCTCGAGTTTTTCTGTTTTTCAATTTATATAACTCTTTCGAAAACCACGGACTTATAATTTTGCTTTTATTAACAATTACTATTGGAACATACTTTTCAAATAATTTCATAATAATGTTATTAAAATGAGAGACACTCAATTCAATGCCACCATTATAATTAGGCCATGTTATTGTAGAAAGTAATACATGGACTTGTATGTACAATTGAGAGCTCGTTGACGAGATCAATAGGTACATTGGTATGCACAAATTGTTTGTGCGTATGTATGTTTAAAAGTATATACATACAATTATTATATTTACTTTTAAACACTTGTACACAATCCTATTTATTTTTGGTTTTTGGTTGATAAAGAACAAGAGGTATTGCCAGAAAAAATTTTAAAATATTTAACGCAGGATATTAAATATCCAAACGCAGGATCTCCAGATTCCCGTCCGCGATAAAGTACAAATCTATCATGTCATGTGACAATCACATTATATCCAATATGCTTGCAGAATTTTTGAAGTCAAACTACTGTAATAATTCTCTTCAGACTTTTTTCTATCAGCAGGTGCTGTGCCCGAATACTTTAATTAACTCTTCAACTATTTCTGAAAAAGACGTCCTACTTAACTTAAATAAGTTATGCGATGAGATGCCAGTCTTCTTTTCAGCAACCGTGTAGGGAATGTAATTATAATTGAAAGACGAATAAAGAGTTATAGACAATTAAAGTATTCTATATTTAAGCTAATGCATTATTTTTTATTAAAGTAACAAATATATATTAAATTATAATTATTGATAGCAATCTAAACATTGCAAATATTACATATTTCATATTTATACTACTAATGAAAGATAAAATTAATTAAACACAGACAACGTTTGACCTTGTGAGTTATTCATCGCCAATACAAGTGTCAATCTAATTGGAAATTGAGGGCGTTTAAATTTTATTGGGACATCTATAAGAATCATAGGCATTCGTGTTTTTAATAATTTTTAATAACTAATCTTGTGCCGTTACAAAGCCATGGTTGGTTCAAAATACGAAGCAAAATTACTGGAGATACAATCTTCAGTTGCAAATGATGCGGTGGCATTCCAGGCATTTCCAATAATATCCGGGAAACAGTCGTTGCCAATTTGACAGTATCATATGTCATTTCACAATTTATATCTGTGTTGATTAAATCAAATTCCATTCGATTTGGTAAACTCATACTGCAATGATTTATTAGTAAATTCACAATGCCAATGCAATAATCCTCAATATCAATCAATGCTTTATTTTATATTGCATTACTGAATGATCTAACCGTTGCACATTGTATAATGTCGAGACAATATATCATCAGTCATTGGATATTTGTGATTATCCCAAAACATTTGGGATCGGGCCGGAAAACATATCTTCAGTACTAGACAAATAGCCGAATTTGTCTTGTCTTACAGTGTCTGTGCGAATGCCACAAAAGCATCCGCACGATTAAACAATTAAAAAAAAATTAGTGAGCGTAGTTTTTGGTGGAGTTATAGAACGATCAAGCGCTGTTTCGTTCGTGAAAAACACATGTTAGCTGTTTTCGAGCTGCAAAAGAAATAATTTTAAATTAACTGTGAGAATGAAATTAACTTGACTTGATGAGAATAAAATAAGATAATTATAATTAATAAAATAAAAAAATTTCATCAAAATCGGTCCAGCCGTTTCGGTGGAGTTTGTCAACAAACACCGTGACCTGAAAATTTTATATTAGGACAAGTAAAAGGTTCGTTCTGTTTTTTTTATTGATTTTTCAAAAAAAATTTTGCACATTTGTCCGATTTAAGTCAAATATGCGCCGTTTTATTCGTAAGCTTGTTGCGAACGAGAAGCCAACTACATTATATCCCTCTCGTAGAAGGCTGCGTCCCTATTGGCAAAAAACTCGGAGATCCAATTTTCACAGGCCTCTCTTGAGGCCAACTTCTCACCATTAAGCGCGTTCGCCATGGGCAGGAAAAGATGGTAATCACTTGGTGCCAGATCCGGACTATAAGGTGGGTGCATTAGGACCTCCCATCCGAGCCGACGAAGACGTGTGTGTAGTGGCGTTGTCCTGGTGGAACACAATTCGGCCTCTGTTTATCAAAGATGGCCTCTTCTGGATGAGTGCCGCATTCAAGCGGTCCAGTTGTTGGCAGTAGAGGGCCGAATTGAGCGTTTGGCCATAGGGCAGCAGCTTGTAGTAGATTATTCCTTGACAATCCCACAAACACGCAACAAAACCTTCCTGGCCGTCAATCCGCTCTTGACCACCGTCTGGGCCGTTTCCCCGAGCTTTGATCACGACCGTTTGCGCTCGATGGTGTCGTAAGTGACCCATTTTCCATCGCCAGTTACAATCCGCTTCAGAAACGGGTCGATTTTGTTGCGATTCAGCAGCGATTCGCAGATGGAAATTCGGTCCATCATGTTTTTTTGCGTTAGTTCGTGTGGCACCCAAACATCAAGCTACTTTTTGAATCCAAAGTTATGTAATGGGTTCCAAACGGTTTTCTAGCTTATCTTTAGTTCCGCAGCAATTAAATAAGTGCTCACGTGACGGTCTGTTTCCATTATTTCCATGATTTTATCGCAATTTTCGACGACAGGCCTCCCGACGCGTGGTGCATCTTTGACATCGAAATTACCGGAACGGAACCTAGCAAACCACTTTTGCGCTACACGTTCGTTTACAGTACCGGGCCCATAAACTAAATTAATTTTTTCAACCGCTTTGGCTGCTTTTTCGCCTTGACCGAAGAAAAATTGTAAAATATAGCAAATTTTCTCTTTGCTGGTGTCCATCTTTGACGAGCGCTCACAATCAATCGAAAAACTGTCAAAGACAAGCTTTTAGCGCGAATAAACACGTTTTCAGCGCCGTATAGTATGACATGATGCGACACGTAACACTAGTACTATGGAAAATAACTCTAAGAGATGGATAAAAACCGAACGTTAAATATAATATAAATTAAGCATTCGTTAAAACTTTCAATGGATTTTAATCAATGCCTGCAGTAGTTTAGTGGATATTATTGGAAAACATATTATGTCCTTCATGTTATTGTCATTATTCCTATGTTGTCCCTTGATGTTTGTGTTCCTCCTCCCCGTGCAGTCGCCCTGCATGGAGAATAAGGCCCTTTCTTACGTCTGTGTTCTGGGCCCCATGTCACAGAACCGACAGTTTGTACAAGAGGCCAGAACCATTTATGTAAGTGCTTCTTGATCTGACAATGGCCGGTGTAGAGCGCGACATGTAGCCGAACTTATTTTTTGGGAGATTGATTACGATTTTAAGCCCGCTGAGGTTGTAACCACCAATTACCAACCTAGCATGGCGCATGTCTTGAAGTTGTGGCCAATGTCCCTCCCTGCTTACTCTCTTCTTATTATACAGCAGATCTTTTATTATGGTATGGGGACCAAGCGGAACGTACGGTTCCGGTCCTACCATTATTGTGAAGCAGGCAAGCTCGTCAGCTACGATCTGGTAGGGTGTTAGCCTTACTATACACTTTTCCCACGGTAGTTAAACGTTAAAAGAGCCAGTGGTATTTCATCACTTAGGGCTTTCATCTACTAGGACGAGATTATCTTCCCTCTGTTGTCACTTGATGCATTGATTGATTTGCTGCTTGATTGATTACTATGTGTAGCGGGGTGAGAACCAGCATCACGTCCAGTAAGTCGTTGGAGCTTCAGTAGCTGAAGTCCTGCTGACGTCTGCGATGTTTTTGAAGCCCAGGTTACCGGCTCATATGTAATAATCGGTCTCACGATCTTGGTGTGCATCCACCTGATAATCATTGGGTTGCAGGCCCAAAATTTCCCGGCAAGTCGATTGCACAGCATGATTGCTTTTGTAGTATTGGCTATGGTCAGGTCCACATGCTACTTCCATCGAAGAGGGGAATCCAGCATGAGGCCCAGGTATTTGACAATATTAATCATCTTCAACTCTCTGCCTCACAAAGATAAATTTCTGAGGCCTGGCAGAGACCTTCGTCCCGTGAACGTAACGATGGTGGTTTTCGAGGGGTTGATGTTTAATCCAACCGCACCGCACCACCCCTTTGCCAGACCTAGTCACCTTTGTATGATGTCACAAATAGTGTCTACAAATTTGCTCCTGGCTAAAATCCATCTGCATCCGGTGCAGCCACATTCCTTTTTTCCAGTACTCTTGCCACGCTATCGCGAGACGTATTGTCAAAAACACCTTCGATGTTTAACATCGTCTCACTTCCATCCAACAAACTTTGAATCTCTGAGGTTAACTAATACAGAGCAGGATTAGTTGATTTGCCTGCTCTGTATGCATGCTGATTCGCATGTAGCAAAGCAGCTGTCAGCGCTTTCGATTTTATTTCGTAATCTATGATATTTTCCAAACTCTGTAGTAAGAAGGCCTAAAGAACTTCGCCAATGAATAGTCTTTCCTTCATACTTTGGCTATAAAGATCACCTTTGCAGTGCGCCACGGTTCCGGGATATACGCCAGCGCTAGGCTATCTCTCATTACCTGCCCCCCCCCTATAGCAGAAGTGCTGGAAAGATGTCATCCACCCTGGAAGAATTTCCCGAATTTCGCCATAGCCCACTTGATCGAGTCCGCAGTAAATAGCTGTCTTGCGACACTCCAATCAAAGCGAGATGGCTTGTATTCGATCACCGTTGAAACAGGTCTACCTTAATTGTCTCTGAAAAATGCGCAAGCAGAAGTGCCGTAGCTCTTTCTTCTGCACTGGTCGTATATGTCCCGTCACATCTTTTTCACAAAAGTTTCTAAAACATTTCTGTTGCAAACCTTATTTCCTTATTGTAAGAAGTTAGGTTGAATTTATATTGCTCTCAGTTCCTCGTACGTTTGGCCTTGTTGAAGAGCTTTCTTACTCTTTTCCAAAGATCTGAGAGTTTGCTTGACCACCAAGGACAGCACCTCCCTCTTACTTATTGCAACGAAAATGGGTTCACAACCAACATTTTCTGCACTTAAATTACTACTAATGATAGACTTACCTCGTGTGTTGCAGTGCGTACTGCCCCAGTCCATGCGATGGGCGTTTGCGTCGCATCCCAAAATCAGGGGCATCTTGTTTCTCCTGCAAAAGTCCCCTAGGCAATCCTCAGCCTCTGGGGGTGCTGGCAGGAACTCTGAAATACAAAAGAAATCAAGATTATTCCTCAATACTATACAAGTTCTAGGTTGAGACTATTATACAGTTCTCGCTGGAGAACTCCCAGATTACCTTGTTAGCGTCTGTTTTGAGTCCCTAGACCTCCCCTTTATGGGCCCATGGTTCTTGGTTATCCGATATGAACACGCTCGCGGTGACAGCCGAGGCTGACACCGTGTAGTACAGGTTTCCCTGGGTAACTTCCTCGTTGACGACCACTATAGGATCCACTAGGTCATTTAGCCCCTCCAAAAGCTCCTGCGAGGACAAGATACTAAGGCCCTCGTTTTGGTTCTTTATGAGCCCGAGAACAAACTCATACGGCTTTCTTGCATATCTGGAGAGGAACACCGCCAACGGACACGGTATTGCCACCTTTACCCTCCTTAGGTGCAGGTGCGAGTTTTTCGGCTACCTTAGGAGTTTTTCCCTCTTGGAGATGCGTCAGGTACTACTTGAGGCTTGCACCGCTCATATCCCCCCTACGAGGGTCGTCGTGTCTACCTGCGTAACCAGCTGGTGCTCCAGATTGCCCTCTGCCTCCCTCTTTTTCTTCTTCTTGTGAGCACCCCCGGTACATGTCCGCTGAGACTGAGGTGAAGTAGATGTCACCTACTGAGCGCCGCTACATGGGGCATGTCATTGCCATCACCTTTGGCATGCTCCTTAAACTGCGCACGCTGCTCACGCGATAGGGAGAACAGAACACCTGCACCGTTGCTATCATTGTAGCTATGTTTTATAGTCGTTTGCCGTGGTTGTGGAGTTGTCGTAGATGATGTTGTTGTTGTGGTCGTTTAGTTTAAATTTTTGCTGTTCATCTTGGTCTTACGACTCTTGGTTCAACGCAGTGAGCCGTTGGGTCAACGATAGTGAAGGGGAATGCAAAGGTCCGCCGCGCCAGAACTCCATGATGCGATAAGGCCTCCGTCACTTCGCAATGCGGCCCGTTGTTGGAAAGGCTTCGTTAGAATACAGTCAAAATAATATCCTGTCTGCAAATCATCCAATGGGCATTGGAGTCGCATAATACCCTGGATTAGGCAGTGGCAGTTCTTGGTTCTGACAACCCGTGTGAGCAGTGCCAGGTGACACCTTTCACATTGGTTGAGAGATACCGAGTGTGCTTTACGACTTAAGCCTCTGCACCATGGCAAGGTGCCTGCCATTGGTAGAGGACACGGCGGGCTTAGTGTAAGAAAGCCTTCAGAGTAAGACCCCTGTGTTTTTTTAATCAAGTATATTATATATATACACATATGTACATTTAAAAAAAAGTAATACTTCAATGTGTATTTCAACCAACTCCGAACCGGTACTAATTTTATTAAAATCAACTGCGCATTCTTTATTTGTGTGAAAATTTTGAGAACCATATGTTATGATTCTTTTGTTATTTGTATGACTATACAATGACATAAACCTGTTAAAGAAATGCCCAATTTTCCTGTTACTTGATATTATTAGCGTAAATTACCGCTATTGCTTGACTGGATCGGGTAGAATTAATGTTTAATTCCAACGACTGGAACGTCCAGATTGAAATTATGCCTTAAATATATATATGGATAAGAAGAGATTGGTTGCCGCCGTTAAAGATCACTAACAAAAAATGTTAAACAATCAAAAATGAGTAAAACACGAAATTTAAATGAATTTAATTAAAAAATTTGTGATGTGATGCTTCACAGTATTAATTTTCAATTGAAAATGATAAAAAATCTTTTATTAATTGAGAGCTAACAAGTATAATTCCCTTTATTAAGTGTTGAAAGTTCAAAAGTCAGCTGTTTAAGGTATATTAAAATCATAAAAAAAAATTAAAATAATCCTTATATTAAACGGTTTATACATATATAATAATTTTTAATCTTTGTTGTGTGTTTTAATTTAAATGCCAAAAAAAAATTTTTTTTTCTCATTTGACCACTGTTGGGTCACCGATTGATAACCACTGCATTATACGGTCATATGTTCCATTTTTTTTTTGCTATTTCTTGTTCTCTACTTATTTGCCTAATAATCAAGGGCAAGCATTAGAAGTCATTCACCTCAATGCAGTTAATAATTGTATTTGCATTGTGTACATACTTACATATTTATTGCTTGCGCTTGCTTTGTACACTTATGCTACCGCTATGTTTTCGTCCACGCAATTATATGAATATTTGTTTGTGCACATTACCATTCCCATTAACCATGTACTAAGCTTAATATGTAAGCACCCTCTTGCAATGCTGCGTTCCCATTTTTTTATATTTCTCTTATGTTAATAACTACATTATATACGAAGGAGCAATAGAGTAAAGTATGTACTTGGGTTATTCTCTTTTTATGAACTGTTTTTATATAACTTACATACTTATGTATATATGCACTAATAGATAACGAAACTATGTACTTAGCGGAAATTATGTATTGAACGGTATTGCAATATTGCTTAGAATATTATTTAAGGAGAAGAATTTTACAAATAAAGTTAGTCTAATAACTGACCACACATAGCATCATTACTCGGCCCTTTGTATTTTATCGCTGTTACAACTTCGCTTAAATATTTCGCTTTTTCGATATTTGCGCGGCTACAAAAAAAGCTTTGTAGCCCTACAACCACAATACAAAATATTAAAAAAAAAATCCAATCCTAGTAATAAATACACATTTAATTATAGTTGCCGACGTTTGTATTTCAGAAAGCAAAAAAACTATATAAAATAAATAAAAGTAAAAATAAGCTTACATTGAATGCGCATATCATAAAATTTAATAAAAGAAAAACTTTTTCACTCATAACTCTTGAGTTGCCTTTAATTATGAATCATCTATGATTCTAAAAATGACAACTGATCATCAACCAATTATTACCAATTTACTGTTTTACTACTATAATATAACAAAGTTAATTCATTCAAACAAATCTGTATAAAAATTAGCTTCTACACGTTTAAAATAATTATCATATATTTGTTTCAATGTCATAGCTGAACTCAGGCCACCAAGGGCTACAGCTTTGCGAACTGTTGACGGCCAAAGTTTTTAGGATAGCAGGGAATACCCAATAAGCAGCCGCTGATCTCCGGAGACTAAATTCCGCCTCGAAATAAGCATTCACAACTCCTAAGGGGCTGCCTCAATTTAACACCTCCTCATGAAAGGAAGGCAACAGAGCGCTACAGCCGAATCCGTTGTACAACAAACCCCAATTGCTAAGCTCAGTCATCCCCAGGGGTCACAGACCGCAGATAGTGCACGGCCTGCAAGACGTAGGTTAGTTGTGAATAACAAATAAGCAGCTCCCAACCAAGATCACAGCACAGACGACAAACTGAGAAAGTAAGCAACAAAGTAGAATTACAGTTTTGACAGTTTTTGGGAATGTTGAGCTAGGGATGACGGCTGTGGCATTCTGTTAGCTCAGAATACAAGATTGACAATTTGTAGGAATAGCTTTTAGGGTAATGTCATAGGCGCACCGCCCCGTTAAGAATATGGCAGGTTTTCAAGTATGTTCAATGCTACGTCGCCATTAGATTGGCAGAGCAGGCTCAATTGATTTGAGTCCTAACTAGTGGTATGGTCACGGCTCTGCAAATGAATTGACATAAGGTGTCGTGTCAACCCTTGTGTGGTTTCCCGGCAATGCACAAATAACTACAGGGACTAAAAATGAAACTGTACTATCGACCGGAGATAGCGGCGTGAAGCTTACAGCGTAAAAAAGGAAAACAACAAACAAGTACAAACGCCGCCGCACAACTTTTTAAGACAGGAGTTTATTCTGAAAATGAGAGCAGTAGAGGATTAGGCGCTCCTTAAGTTTCGCACTACCCTCAAACAGTTAAAGCCACGTTAAGGCAGAAAAATATATGTACAGATATAGAATATATGTACAAATATAGAAATAGTACATCTGAGCTAAGCGAGCTCTTCGAAATCGGTTTGTTGAATCAAATCTGAATGAAGGCAGAAAGCGACACAAGACACGCAAACGCAACTAAATCCTTAGACGCATGCTTCAAACATACTAATGTTTCAACGCCAGTAACAACTCTTCCTTAACGGACTACACCCAACTCAGTAGAGCATGAGCAAGAGAAAAATGGGCGAGGACCCGGAAAAAAACGCAGAGCAAACCCCAGACAAATACCAGGTGGGCAAAAAAACTACAAGCTTCGGAAGCAAAAATTGGCCAGCAGAACCAAGGACGGCCAGACGAAGTTCTAGGGACCAAGACAAGGTGGAATTTTGATTAATACAGAAAATAAAAACACGCGCCCTGCTCTTCGAATTGAAGAATGGAGAAATTCTAAAATCAGATCTCCCGAAAGCGCTTAATCTACACGGCTTAGTTTCTGTAAGTGAGCTTATGCAGAAAGTCACAATAGAGATTCGAGTCCTCAATTCATTAACCATTGACGTAGAAGTCGCGACCTAGAGCTAGATAAAACGCGTGCGTGCTAGAGAAAGCAGATGAAGAAACCACTGTGAGGACCAGCGCTTCAAATACCCGCAAACAAATATACGCATATGTGATGTTTGCAGCCGGTAGCGTATACAGAGTCCTTAAAAAAAATTGGATGGCTCAGCTACAGATGAAGCTTGTGAAGGAAATGAAAAAATGCTATAAATGATTTTACTTCGGCCACACGATGTTGAAAACCCAGGTACAAGCAGAAATACTGCAAAAACCCATCGAGTCAAAAATATCATAGGCCTGGGTCTCGGGGTCAGAAGTGAAACTGCTTACTAACTTCTACCACTGCTCATATTGGAACTCGCAACCGATGTAGGAATCATTAGCGAGCAATATAAGATAGCACAAGGTTTAACATTCCTGGAAGACATCAGTGGCAATATGGCTAACGGAAAGAAGCAATTTCAAAAAAACAAACAGCGGGAGAGGAAATGGGCTTGTCAGAATAAGCAATGAAAACATTAGCTGTTACCTGACCCCGATCCTATCATATCAAAGGCTTTCAAGAAAAGCTCGAGGCCAGATAAAAGCCTAATAACAGCTAAAAGAAGGGGAACACGTAAATGGAACGCTTCCTAGCTAAACTCAGAAAAGCTTCTTGTGCCATAGTCCAAAATCCACCAGCACTTTAAAGAACAGAAAAGCCCTTTACGCTGATAATGCATGTTATATATTTTATTAAAACACATTTTTAACGTACTTATACATATGTATATATATTTTATTAATAATTACAACAGCTTTCATATTTCAAAAAACTTTTCCCTTATGCATATGTCTATGTCACAAGAATAAGAAAAGGACAAATTAAAATATGCAACGGTAAGAAGAATACAAATGAGAGTACTTAATTTCTAGATGTTATTTGAAAGTTACTGTAGAGAAAAGAAGTTAATGATCAAAAATAAGAGAGAAAAGTTATGTACAAAAGAAAAGCAATGTTTCAAAATATATATGGTGAATTCTCATTATATGTAATTCCTCCATCGTTAGAATTGAAGATACATCTTCAACTCTAATTGTGTTTTCGAATTTCAATTTCCTCTTTGTATTAGAGCTATGAATGTTTTCTAATTAAGAATTAGTTGTCCTTTATGTCCTACAGATTTATAATTTTTTATGTATCCATCAGAACTTTGTTCTTTATAAAATTTTCTCTTTACATTTCTTTTATTTATTCATTTATAATTTTTTTTAATATTTTCTTAATTTTGTAAAAGAATTTCTTTTCTTATAGAATAATATGAATTATTATAATATTATTGTTTAAGATTATTTTCTATTTTTATTTTAAATCACACGATGCACCCTGTGCAAAGTATTTCTCTAGAACTTAGAAGAACGAGAAAGTGCAGGTTCGACAGGGAACATTTGTAAAATTTTATCAAGGAGTTCAACCGGCGAATATTCAAGAGAATATAATATGTATGCCAAACTGGGAATATTGATATGCCATTTGAAATATATTCCTATTTATTGAACTATTATTTATTAATTTTTAAATTATTTTATGTTAATTCATTTTTACTTTATTATGAGAAATATATTAAAATACTTTTAAATTATTACTAATAAAGTATTTTGATATATTTCCTAAAATAATTCATGTACTTGACACCATTATGGAGTCATAAAAGTACAGAATTGTGTTTTGCCGTCGACATTTAAATATGAAAGAAACATATTATATATGTAAATTTGGCTACAAACAACGTATGTATGTAGATATGAACACTCATTACTTCATGTGAAATCTCCGTTGACACGGTCAACCAATGATCGAAGCTCACGTTTTTTGCTTTTATGGCAAAGAGTCAATCTGTCGAAGGACTGACGCGACGACAAAGCGTCACAACATTGTGTTGTTGGTTGAAAATCCGAGATGTGCTTTTTACGACTTAGCTTTTTGCGTGACTGTCAGCGTTCATGAATGAAAATGTTGTTGTTTTGTGATTTACTACAAATTTAGGATTTTTCAATTTGGCTGCCATATTGATTTCTAACGCTGCTCATGCTATTTGAGAGAATTGTTGTTTTTGTATAACAATGTTTGTATTTTTTTACGCATAGATGTACAATATATATGTAGACTTGCATTACTTACTTTGCAATGTCATACGGATATTTTTTCGTACATGCTTACATATATATACAATTATATATACA